GTCATTAGCACCTCTAGTAATATATTTACTGAGAAAAATGTTGACGTGTTTAATACTTATTTTACCCGCTGTATGTTGTCAGAATGACGGCAGGACAATCATTTTGGACATGTTCAAAATTTGTCTGTTTATGCCGACATGCTGCTGATAAGTGAAGCACAAGTTACAGGTATGCTATGGATAATTTATGCATCAGTTCGCATATGTTTCAGGTAAGTTATTCATTTGTTATCCATAAGTGAGCGGGACAAATCTGAAGCAGAACGTAACTTTTTCTTAACCCCCTAACTACTCTCATTTATTCAATTGGCTCATGCAAAGTCAGTTTACCTTTTTAACAACAATTACTATGTATAATAACAATAATAAAAAAATAATAATAATAATAATAAAACAGGTAAACTAAGTGACCAATATCAACAGAATGATGCCAAAAAAAACATTTCATTTTTCATATTTCTTCAACAAATGCATCAATCAAAATAATGTCCCAGTTGAAATGCACAGCTGAGCAGAGCTGCAGGGCTCTGGGGGCTTCAGGCGCTCTGTGGCTGATGATCAGATTGAGGCAGCTGCTGATCGATGCTGCTGCAGCGGCTCAGGTTTCTGTTTTAAACATCACCAGATTGTCTCCTGCACATACRTGCTGCAGAAGTCCAAACACATTCTAATWAGCTTGTACACGTTATGTTTAAGGTAGGGATAATTTACTCATAGGTTTTAAATCTGCACAAGTCATTAGCAACACGGTGTGATCATGTTCGACTTATGTCTTATAGAGGCTACAAATCAGTGSGTTAGGGTTGCATGAACTGTACTGTGTACACAACAGAAGCAAAACATGGACTCAATTATAATGGAATACTAGCATTAGTACATGCACATATCCAAATTTCACAAAAAATCATCTTTTGATCAACAAATCAGGGTTAAATTTCCTCAAGTTTTCCCTGATTTCTTTGTYTTTCTCAAATTCCCCAGGTTTTCTTTGTCTGGAACATGAAAAGACGTTTGTTGGGTTTATATTTACTTTCAGAGTTGCTGGGAAGCCTCAAACTGTCTGAAAACACTTCATGTTCATTCGTTCGTTCGTTCATTTCTTTCTATAGCGCTTCACACAACCACAGTGCTGGTGACCAAAGTGCTTCACAAAGTCAGTGATTAACATGGCAACAGGTTAAAAACAAGAAAAATACAACAAAATGGCAGAAATAAAACCAGAAAYGTCCCCCCACATTTAAGTCCTAAAAGCCTGTTGGAATAAAAAAAAGTCTTAAGCTTTGATTTAAAAAGTCCAAGTTCAGTAACCAAACATAGATCAGAGGGAGCTGATTCCTGAGTCCAGGTGCAGCTGCAGAAAGGCCTGGTCTCACCAGAGTTTATATTTTGTCTTTGGAACAGAGCAGGAGCTGTGTGACCTCAGAGGCCTGAGTGGGAGGAAACTTAACAACCCTGTTATATAAGAAGGACTGAGAACATTCAGAGTTTTCTCACACTCTAGCAGAATTGGTTGAAAGGCGAGCTGCTGCATTTTGAACAAACTGGAGGTGGCTCAGTGACAACTGAGGTACTTCAACATCCATCCATCCATCCATCCATCCATCCATCCATCCATCCATCCATCCATCCATCCATCCATCCATTTTCTGTACATGCTTCTTCCTTTTCAGGGTCGCGTGGGTCACTGGTGCCCATATCCAGCAGTCACAGTGCGAGGGGCGGGGTACACCCTGGACAGGTCGCAAGTCCATCACACTATCACACCTGGACAACAAAAACACC